TCTAGAAAAATACTACATATGCTTACTTCTAATTCAAGCTGACAGTATAGATTTATCAAGGAACTCCAGTTTTTGCCTTCCCCCGAAAAACGTGACTTTGCTAACAGCATAGGCACTGTTCTGTGACCAACTCCAGCCTCAAGAACTATAAAAATAGAATCAATGTTCACTCTTATGATCTCTCCTCTGAGAATCAATTCAGTTGTGGGAGCTTTGTTTTCAACTTCATTTGGTTCTTCAAGAAACCACATTTTTAAACTCTTAGTATCCTTCTTTTCCCATAAATGTGCTGTAGAAGAAGCAGTATCCTCGGGGATGGTTTCCTTAGATGTATAAAGTGCTGACGTTATGGTAATCACAGTATTTATGATAACTGGTGAAACCTAAGGGGAAAAATTAAAAGTAATGAAAAATCTACACATAACACTTTCAAAATTAGGTATTTAAAAAAGTATTAGATATACTAGAAGGATCATGAAGAATATTAAACTAACATCACTATCCAGAGAGTAGATATAATTTATTGCCTACAAAAATTTTATAATGATTTCAATTTTTAAAATACTTACATGAATCTTATAGCTATTAAACTGGCCAAGTGGAAGTTCAACTATATATACTGTAGGAATGTTAGATGTTATCCACAGAAGGAGTCAAACACCAATAATAAAATATACAGCATTCATTATAAAATGTGTATTAAATAATACATCACAAATAATGTGTCACATAAAAATATTTTCAGAAACACAGCTGCATTTTTGAATATTTAACAATTAAAAGGCAATATAATAATTGCTTACTTCTAGGTTTTACTAATTTTTTAAAGGGTGCACTAAAGATATGAACAACTGACTGCATTTTAACTTACCTTCAGTGTCAAGGATTTTACTGATATATCAATCACTTGTGGATTTGCACTTATTTGAGTAGCTTGATAGAATAAGTCACAGGGCTGCAAAACCTATGAGAGATAATTCAATCCCACCAAATTAACACTGTTCTAAAACGGTTTTATTTATAGATATTTCTAGTAATAGCTAAGTTAAATAAGTTAGTCAAAGTAACTTTTAAAAACGTGACTCAATAACACAATTATCTTTTATACCTATCATTTATATTAGAAATTATTAACAATAGCAACAATACTAATTAAACATAGTAAGTCAAAAGATACATTAAATATATGAAAGCCCCATAAAACCTGATTTTATATACTTTATTTTACTTACTATAATAAAATTTTTCCATGGTATATTTTCATTATAAAATTGAAACAAAATTATATAGGAGAACTACCAAAGATGAAGAAATTATAAGTACATTAGATTTACTAAATAAGTCTTAATGTAATTATAAATTAATTGAGCTTCCTTTAGGTGTGGTAGCAGAATTCTGCCCTCTAGCCCCCAAAGACTCAGGCTCCTCTCAAATGCATAATATATTCATTTACCTCCTAAGGTTTCTAATAGCCTCATCCCAGAAGTCTAAAATCTCATCATCTGTATCTTTTATCTCATCACACATGAATCTTCTCTGTATCTCTCACTGATTCAAAAATCCCCAAATCTCACCTCTTTTAATCTTTTTAGCTCAAGGTCTAAAATCTAAATTGGGTACAGGTACTGATGAAGTACATGGGTATAATCTATGAAGTATAACGGCACAGTTTCCCTTTTGTGGATATGTGAAAGGAAGAGGAGTTATTTGCCCCCACCCTCCCAACACAGAATGGTGGGGCAGACATAGGGTAACAATTACAGATATTCTAGTTCAAACAGGGAAAATGAAAGGTAAAAAGAAGTCACTAGCACAAATGTAGCTTTGAACTCCACCCAGGTAAATGAGTTTCTTGATTAGGTTTAAAAGCCTAGGATCAATTCTCTGTGGTGCTCATTTCTACCCTGAGAGTCATCCTTCCATTTCTAGAAAAGGTAGCATAAATTTGCAACTGAGTAGTTTTACCATCCTGCTTCTTGCCAGTAGAATTTTGGAGATGCAAAGAGTCTCTCTTCATTTTGTTCTCTCTGTCCCTCTCAGTCCATCCTCACAGTGTTTCTATTAAAATACTTTTCTCAAGAACCTTGAGGGCCTTCTGTAAATTTTATGAGGTTTCTTTTTTTTTTTTTTTAATTTTTTTTTTTTTTTTTATTTTTTTTTTGGATAGAGAGAGACAGAGCATGAACGGGGGAGGGGCAGAGAGAGAGGGAGACACAGAATCGGAAACAGGCTCCAGGCTCTGAGCCATCAGCCCAGAGCCCGACGCGGGGCTCGAACTCACGGACCACGAGATTGTGACCTGGCTGAAGCCGGACGCTTAACCGACTGCGCCACCCAGGCGCCCCAATTTTATGAGGTTTCATTGCATTAGACAAAAGCAACACCCACTGCTCTTTTTGAGATAATCATGGCCTCCTGTTGAAATGGCTAACAGGTGATACCTTTATAATTCCTAGACACTCTCTGTTTGAGAAGATCTGTGAAACACACATTAATCCTTCAAAATCTCTTGAAAGGGCCCTTCCTGTGTATGAACACTGTGTTTTTTTATCCTGAGATTTAGCAAAAGTTTATATACACAGTCTTTTCTCTATGCCACACTTTTGGGAGCTATTTCTGACTTTTAGCATCTTCTGCCATTTGAAAAGCTAAGGAATTATCAAAATCATAAAGTTCTGGTTCTTTTTAACTGTTTTTCCTCAATTTATCCCTCTGGTCTAGCATTTTACTATAAACAGTAAGAAAACAGGCAACATTGGGGCATCTGGGTGGCTCAGTCTGTTAAGCATCTGACTGCAGCTCAGGTCATGATCCTGTAGTTGGTGAGTTCAAGCTCCACGTTGGGCTCTGTGCTGTCAGCTCAAAGCCTGAAGCCTGCTTTGGATTCTGTGTGTCCCCCTCTCTCTGCCCTCCCCTCCTCCCTGCTTGTGTTCTTTTTCTCTCTCTCTCAAAAATCAATTAACATTAAAAAATGCAAAAAGAAAGCAGCCAACATCTTCAAATCAGGCATCTCAGAAATCTCCTTAGCTATATATATATATATATATATATATATATATATATCTCCATGTTTTCCACTCATAAGTTCTGCTTTCCAGACAACTACAAGATGGCTTGTAACTCAAGCCATCCTTTCTGCTTCCAATAACATGTCTTTCACCTTCTTTGTAGGCCCTTTGGGCAGCATATTCAAAAAGAGTCTGTTCAACATACTTGAGGCTTTCTCTACCATTCTCCTTAAAATTCCTCCAGATTCTGCATGCTCCCCAGTTCCAAAGCTGCTACCACATTTTTTTTTTTTAATGCTTATTTTTGAGAGAGAGAAAGAGAGCGTGCACAGGCACCTGCACGGGAAACAAGAGACAGAAACAGAGGGAGATAGAGAAACCCAAGCAGGCTCCGCACTGTCAGCACAGAGCCCAGTGCAGGGCTTATCTCACAAACCATGAGATCGTGACCTGAGCCAAAATGAAGAGTCAGACTGAGCCACCCAGGCACCCCTGCCACTCCCACATTTTATAGATTAACTGCTTGCTTCCTATTGCTGCATAACAAATTTCTACACACTTTGCAACTTAACACAAATTTATCATTTCCCTGTTTTCATGGGTTAGGAATCCTGCTGAAATTAGGGGTCAGCCAGCCAGTTATGTCATCTGAAGGTGTGACCAGGTAAAGATTTTCTCCCAGACTCCTTCAGGTCGCTGGTAAAATTCCTGTCTTTGCGGCCCTATGACTGAGATCTCCATTTGCTGGCTGGCTGTTGGCCAGGGACTGCCTTCTACTCCTACTGGTCACTCACAGGCTCTTGCCATGTTGTCTTCTCCCCAGTTTGCTCCTTTGAAGCCGACAGGAAAACATTATTCTGATGTTTCACATTTTAAAAATTAGGATAGGCTCACCCAGAATCTCTCTTTGATTAACTCAAAGTTAACTAATTAGTGACTTAATTATAGTTATTAAATCTACCCACACTCAAGAGAAAACCATACTGGGCACATGCAACAGGGAATAGAAATCTTGGGGGCCATCTTAGAATTCTGCCTACACTAATAATGAAGAATAAGTCAGGAAGAAAAATTGACATCCTAAACAATTTCCCAAAGAAATCACATTAAAATCTACCACTATTCTAGGGGCACCTGGGTGGCTCCTTCAGTTACGTGTCTGACTCTTGGTTTTGGCTCAGGTCATAATCTAACAGTTTGTAAGTTTGAGCCCTGTGTTGGGCTCTGCGCTGACAATGTGGAGCCTGCTTGGGATTCTCTCCCTCCCTTCAGTGTCTGCCCAGCCCTCTCCCTACCTCTCTCTCTCTCTCAAAATAAACAAACAAACACCAAAAAAAGAAAAACTACCACTATTCTAATAAAATCATTAGGAACAACTGGTACACGACTTTAACATTCAGTATATTACATCTTTAAACTTCACAAACAGGAATGATAACATTATAATACATGATCCAAGATTTTCAATATAAAATTTGTGTTATCTCTTCATCTTAGGGAAGACAAAACAAAACCAAAAAAATACCATGATACATACATACACAAGTTTCTCCATAATTTGGAAATTTTTTAATAGCCCCTTCCCAAAATAAATACGAAGGTATACGTTGATCCTTGCCCAATTCCTTTATTTTCAAGTCTAGTTACTGAAGATTAAAAATGCAGCTGGTCAGTAACAGTAAAGGTGTTCATGCTTCAAAACATTACTCTCAAGTTGTCCACGATCCAGTCCATATAGATTAATTTAATGATGCAGAAACAGTTCTTAAAATGGAATTGTTTTCCTACTAGTATTTGTCTCCAATTATATACACTGTGATTTCAGGGGTATTTCTATCATTTTTTTCTCTTTCCTACTTTCTCACCAAACTGCTCCCAGTCTTACACGAAAAGACTTTCCTGCTGCTACTGCTTCCCCTTTGCAGAAGCAATCTTGAGCTACACAACATCTACAAAAACCTGTAAGAGTTCACTATAAATTCTCCACTTTACAAACCTTATCTTGGTGGTGGGAAGGACTGCCTCACACTGAAGAACTCAGTAACAAGAGAAAAAGGCAGAGTATAAGAGTACAGATGCTGGTGTGCGGGTAGGTGTGGGGTGGGAACTTGTGCTCTCTGGAACCCAGGTTCTCTGCATATGCTATCCCTTTACCCTGAAACATGCTCCTGTTGCAGGTGAATTAGGTAATACCTACTCATCCTACAGGCATCAGCATAAAGGTCATTTCTGCTGAGAAGCCTCCCCCAGCTACTCTTCCAGGAGAGTTACAGGCTTTTATTATAGAGTCCACGAAGGTACTTTTAACAAAACAGAAGAACAAATTAAAATAGTCTCCAATTTGGGGTATTTTGCCCACAAATGTAAGGCTCACATGCTATAGGAAAAACTATTAATGTTATTTATTATAAGAATAATAAAAACTATTATGCTTTTTTCAGCGGATAGTAGTAAGCACTCAATAAAATATCATATATGGGGCACCTGGGAGGCTCAGTTGGTTAAGTATCCAACTCAGTTTCAGCTCAGGTCATGATCTTACAGTTCGTGAGTTCAAGCTCCACACCATGCTCTGCGCTGACAGTGATGGAACCTGCTTGAGTCTATCTCTCTCTCTCTGCCTCTCCAGTGCTCTCTCTCAAAATAAAAAATTAAACTTAAAAAAATAAAATTCCACACTTATTCATGATTAAGATTCTTTCAAAATTAGATATGGAAAATTTTCAACATCAAGGTTATATGTATAAATTCACAAGCAAATATTAAAATTATAGTAATATAGTAATAACTTAAAAATGGGAATGCAATGAGGATGAGTCATTATTGTCATTTAAGGAACAAAGAATGTTACTTTTGCAGGTAATTTTTAGAAAACCTAACATAATTAAAAATACTAGAATAGGTAACAAGTTTAGTAAAGTTATAGAATAACACAAATTCACTTAAAAAAGCTGAC